ACCTACCATCGCAGTAAGTCATTTTATTTTCCTTCTTCCTTCAGTTCCGCTAATTATTTTATTTGTAGAAACACGTTTGAAACTTTTCATTTGGAATTTATCTCAAAAGGAAAAAAACCCTTCATTGAAGGTATGTTGTATGTTAAGTTAAGGGTTGTTACTTAATAATATTTTTTATAGGGTTTTTTTTTTTGGGTTGTTTCCTCGAATTCTTTTTAAATTTTAATATTCTGGAAATTCATTGAAGAAATATATTTGGACGTTTTCTGGCAGGAAAATCTTGAGAGCCGCCGCCATCTTGTATTGAATTTACTTCGGGAATCTATCCTGTTTTTGCATTTATATAGTTTTTTTGTTATATCTTTGATATCAAATAGATCTGAAAATAAATTAATTTAAGTTTATTTTAAGTAGTTACAATAGAATTATAATAATAATATTACTTACCTATTTTCCCTGTAAATCATTTATAGCTGGCCAGATATAAAAGAGTTTTATTTATTTAAATTAGTCTTGTTATTATATATATATATTTTCTGTCAGACAGATGTTGGTATAAACTTTAATACATATTGCTCCTTGAATTAAACATTTTTTTTATTACTGTTTTAAACTTTGCTACTTTTTAATTTTAGTAACAATCACTTATTGTTACTTGGGGCCCAATATATAAGTAAAGGTAAGTAACCCTTTAATAATCTGCCAATCCCAGACCCTGAGAGACTGAGCTGGTCAGGTTTATAACGGTATCGGTCTATTTGTACGTTATAACTTTTTAAATTACAACTGGATTGTTTAATTTCACTTGTTATCCAATGCTTTTTATTACTTAAACCAATTTCCTTTGATTTTATGGGAAAGTTAATATTGAAATAAAAAATCGTGGAAAACATTAAAAGAATTTTGAAAATCACTCTGGTATACAGAATTCCAACTTTCATTATCCAGATCCTTTTTAAACTGAATTATTCTGTCTTCACTAAATGTTCTGCGGTTTTCTTTTTGAATTAGATTATTTTTCTGTAGCTTAAAACATTTTGTGTTAGGTAGCACCGTATCATGGTCTGATAAAAAGTTAGTTTCAACAGAATATTCAATCTGGCAAAGGTTTGTAAATACAAGATCTAATGTATAATTTTTCCTAGTATTTTTGGTAATAACATTTTTTAGACCGAAACTAAGAAAAACATTACATAGAGTTTGAAAGTTAGCAGTGTCCCTGGAAGGATCTACATTAAAATCGCCCATTACAATAAAAGTAATATTCATTTTATATAACTTTTCCAGCGCTAAACCTATGTTTTGACAAAATATATTTAGGTTACCTACAGAAGGAGACCTATAGCAACAAAGAATTATTGTTGTACCCATGGATGTGTTTTGGCATTCTATACCACATACTTCACAATGTTTTTCAATACAAAACTCAGATAAATTAATAAGAGTTACATCTAAACATTTATGCCAAATGCCAACACCCCCACCTCTACAACTTGTCCTACAAAAATTGCTGGTATTAATAAAATTTGTAAGATTTATAAGATTAATTTGATCTTCTGAACACCAAGTTTCAGTAAGACATATAACTCTTAAATTTTCTAGTTTATAAACATATTCACTCTCCATAAGATCAACAGTTTCATTATTTAGTGATTGACAATTTAGTAATAAACAATCAATATTATTAAAATTAGGGTAACTACTTTCTAGGTTTTTGTCTTGTCTTTTTGTTTGGGGTGAAAAAACCGTGACAAATAGGTGCAATTAGGCCACAACTCAGAACACATAACTTTTTCAAAATTCGATAAATCGACTGTCAATTTAAAAGAAGAATAGTGCTCTGGGAACTTTGAAGATATTGCCTCAACACGGATTTCCGGGAAACGTTCTTTAAGGTATGTTTCTATATCCGAACACTGCGTAGTAGGCTGTAGTCTGGATACATATATAAAAGATTTTTTGGGAACTACTTTTAGGGAGCAGTTGGAAGAATCCTTCAGACCCCGGGCATGTTTTTTGTTAATAACTTTTAAAATAATTTTTTTAATGATTGGAAACTCCATGTATTTGCTCAAAACATAACAATGTATCAAATTTCAAAAGAAACTAAAAAAATATTCCAGATTGTTTAAAATAATTGTCAATTTTTGGCTGGGGTATGAGATATGGTATGAGTTTTTGCCCCAGAAAACAGGACAAGAAATCAAAATTTGTCTGCAAAAGTTGCGGGAAATTCGTTTGAAAAACTCATCGATTTGTTTCCTCGACGATTTACTGTGTGGATTGTTTTGATCATGATCAATAATTACGATTAATTTGATATATAAATGTGTTTAAGAATTTATTTTATATTTATTTTTTTTGAATTCGTGTTTGTTTATTAAAATTTTATTAATAAAATTTGAGTTAACGTATACTTCTAGCATCACTACATTCCTATAGACCTAATTCAATGAATAAATTAATCCAAAGCATGATAAACCGTATTTTACTGTGGGGAATCTTACATACCCCCCACCGGCGAAAACGTGCACCAATACCCACCGTAGCGGGAAGGTTAACAACGTCAGTCCATGTAGTTTCTTTTTCCTTTTCCTTTTTATTTTCATTGGAAGTGGTAGATTGACTTGGGTTGGTAAGGTTGATGAGTTGGTCACAAGTAGTTTTTGTTTTTGCTTCCAGAATAGCCTTAGCTACTAGTGTTTTAGGTATTATATTTTTTGTATCAGAGCCTTTATTTTTACCATTAATTTTTTTTATTTTCGGTATTATTTTTTATTTGTTGATTTTCAGTTAATTTTTCGGTTTTATTGTTAGCCGTGCTTTTGCAGTTATTAATAACATTTAATAACAAAATTTGTTCCTGTAAGGATTTTATGTTTGACTTCTGATTATCGATAATCATATCTTTTTGTATTATTATTTCTTTAAGGTAAAATATTTCTACTAGAAGAGGATTTTTAGATGGATCAAGTTTACATTTTTTATAGATAATTTTATGATCTACAATTTTTGTCTGGTGTATTTTTATGATAAAACTTACCGTTTTGCTGAAAATCGCGAAAAATCATTTTTTTTATCTTTGACCTTGAATAAAAAAATTTCCATACAGGGGAATGATGGGGAACTTTAAAATTTTATTAATAATTATATTCTGAACAATTTTACTGATTTTCAGCTTGTTGTAAATTTATGTACCTTCGAATGTCTAGATTGACCGGACTAATGGTTTTCGGCAAGATTTACAAACATGGGCTCCAAATGGGGTGATACTAAAGTATGCATGGTTTTTAGGGCTTGTTGTCCAAATGCAAGAACAATATTTGATGGGACAGTTAAACCACCTGAGTTAATATTTTGTACATACACCGAATCAAATTCGTCTCCTATTAATATTGCGGTACAATTTTCGCATTTATTTTATTCTGAACTTTAAAAGCTGCATAACCACAAACATAAATTAAGGCATCGATAGGCATTTCTTCCTTATTTTCCGCCAATATCTCTAAGAGTTGGTTTGCACTTTCATCGTTTACAATCCATTGTATTAGGAGGCAGATTCATAATTCATTAAGTCCAAATTTTTACATCTGCGAATTTTTCTTTATATACTATTTTGGCATCAAAATTGTTAACTTTATTCTTCTTTTATTAGGCTATACATAAAATAAAGGAAACCTTAGCAATATTTCTATAAAGTCGAGATAATTTTAATTGACAGTTGGGAACGGGACAAGATATTTTTTTTCTGCTGAATAACTGCAAAACTGTTCTTTGCCCAAAGGCAAAAAAACTCAAGCCGGCTCTGACAATCGATAATTCATATAAAACTGTCTTGCTAGCGCTATAATAAATTAATTTTCCTGTTGCCTGTTAGGAACGCAACATTTTCTTGGCATTTTTTATTTATTTATAATTTTATTAAAGCAGCAAAACTAATCAGTGTTGTTCCCAGCGGGAAAAAAGCGTAAAAAATTTTAAAGAAAAAAGTAATAGATCCCTATAAAATGTAAAAGATCGCCATTTTTTGACTACCTATCATTATAAAAATAAAGAAAAAGTGTAGGGGGAATTTTTAAAATCATCCAAAGACATCATGCATGTTTTATGAATTAAGATTTTATTTAAATATTTTTTTTTTTTAAGAATAACTTGACGGAATAAATTTTTGTAGTACCTATAAAATAAAAAAAAATTCAATAAAATTTAGTAAAGGGTCGTGTTGAGGGGTGGTGAATCCAATGCCGTGCTTAGATTATGTTTAAAAAAATCGCTATTATGAATTCTTAAAAATTTACTCTTAAAAATTGAGTTTATCAAGATCTACACTTTAAAACAAATCCGTTTAAAATCGCACAATAAATAAAGATTTTACAGTGGTGAGTCGCAAACAAATGGGTCAAACTGTATATATAATTATTGTTGAAAAAAAACGGACAAATCTTGAAAATGTAATAGATTTATTAATTTTGTAATGACGTAATAGATTTTTGGCCGTTGTAATAGATTATTACAAATGTAATATATGGAACAACACTGAAACTAATGCAATATTTAAATCAACGTTTAATCTAGCGATATCAATTGAAAAGCAATAGATAATTTATATAAAACTGTTTTGTATTACCGCGATTATACATTAATTTGCTATTGCAGTCGGCATCCTGACGTCACGCCTACCACTATCACACTCTCGCCTGGTATAGAGAACACCGTGGTACAAGGTATTAAACATATAATAATGATATTTTATGATTTCTAGGAATAACTTTTCATATTACAGTAAATAAGAATATAATCAGATTGGATCATGGTATCATTGTTTTATTATTATTTTTCTCTCTCTTAATAAATTGCAATTTATAAAAATATATCTAACAACAACACGTTTTGTAAAAAGTTACGCATTGATGTATTAAATTTTGTCTCCAAGCTACTTAATACTGATTTAAATGACATTGGTTATATCAATACTAAAATTAGAACCACAATGTTTTTAGATTTTGGTACTTGGGATTTTATTATATGTGGAGCTGGAGCAGCCGGTCCGGTATTAGCAAATCGATTAAGCGAAGTGACAGGATGGAATGTACTTATTTTGGAAGCGGGAGGTTTACCTGACAATTCAACGGATATGCCTGCTTTAGCAATTCAAAATATGGTGTCTGATTTTAACTGGGGATTTTTCAGCGTGCCTCAAACTAAATCTTGTCGAGGTAGACAAATTAAACATCAAACACCCTGATCAAACATTAATTTTATATTTAGGTTACCAGGAATCTCGATGTCCATACGCAAGAGGTAGAGGTTTGGGAGGTAGCACGCTTATAAACGGTTGTATGTTATCTAGGCCAAATGTTAAAGATTTAGATAATCTTGGAGCGGTTGCTCCAGGTTGGAGTTACAGCGATATGCTGCCATACATGATAAAATCCGAAAATTTAACCATAAATAGGGATGATGCTCCTATTAATCCTGATTATCACAAAACTGGTGGAGAATTTCCTACACAATTTAATTCTAACAACAATTCTAGAACAAGAGGTTTTTATAATGCGTGTAAAGATCTAGGATACAGTATAATAGATTACAATAGCCCTCAGCAAGTAGGGTGTTCGCCAATACAATTTAATATTAAAGAAGGTAGGTTAAAAAGATCAATACTTATCATTAAAAATGTTTACAACAATAATCCTTAGGTAAAAGATGGGATACAGGAAAAGCCTTCATTTTATCACTTAATGAAGCTCGTCAAAATCTAAAAGTAATGACATATAGTTACGTTACAAAAATAGATATAGATCCGATATCAAAAAATGCCACCGGAGTTATTTTTTCATACCAAAACCAATTGTACCGTGCAAAAGCGAACTTGGAAGTTATAGTATCCTCTGGTACTTTTCAATCTGCTCAACTATTAATGTTATCAGGAGTTGGTCCAAAGGAACATTTACAAGACTTGGGTATTACTCTGATATCTGATTTGCCTGTAGGTAAAAACTTAAGGGATCATGTCAGTATGACTATACTGGGAAACCATAACCAAACAGATGATAACTATAAGTTACATCAAGATGATATAATTGATTACATAAACGGTTTTGGTAGGTTAACATCTTTACAAGGAATATCAGCACTAACTTGGTTCCCTACTAAATACCAAACAGACAAGACATGGCCTGATATAGAGTTCATATTAATACCTTTTATCCTCACTACAGTTCTCATTAGCAACGCTCCTCGTTATACTGCTTTAAGTTTAATTGAACAGTTCTCAGGTGCCCAGTTAGATCCTGTATTTCTTGGGTATTACGCCTTTACTCTAACCAAATCTGTTGGAACAGTAACACTGGCCAGCTCAGACCCTTATGATTACCCCTTGATTGATCCAAATCTTTTTGACGACCCAATGGATATAGAGGCATTATATGAAGGGTTTTTAGGTGTGTTGGCTTTATTAAATACACCTTCAATGAAGGCTATAAATGCCCGCCTTGCTGGATTGCAAATTCCAGAATGTGGCCTGTATGATGAAAGTTCAAAAGAATATTGGCTTTGTGCTTTTAAATACCTCGGCTTTCCGACATACCACCCTGTAGGTACTTGTTCTATGGGCCTAGACAGTAGAACTGCAGTGGTTGATCCAAATTTAAAAGTTTATGGTGTAAACAACCTTCGAGTTTGCGATGCAAGCATTTTTCCCTTTCCGTTTTCACATCATCCTATGGTTATTACGATAGCAGCCGCTGAGAAATTATCTGACATTATAAAAGCAAACTATAATAAAACCTGATTCGTTACAATATTTTTTGTGCCATAAAAAACCTTACTTAGTGTATGCTGCTACTTTTTTCCAATTATTACGAAGTTATTCAAATTAAATTAATTTTTAGGGCTTTATATGTATAATTACGCAAGTTCGTTATATTTATTCATTTAGTACATAAGTCATATATTTATTTTAAACACTATTTAAATTTAGAGATTTGTGTCATAAAAACCTTACTTAGAAATTAAATTGTATGCTGCTACTTTTTTAAAATATTTGCTTTTTTTAAATAGTACTTACATAATATAAAATAATACAAGGGTGCTATTTATATTTTAATAATCTAAACAAGAATCAAAACTTATTTTAAAAAAGCTTTTATTGTTTTTTTAAATATTTTACAAGAATATCCATACCCTTTTTCATCAGTGGAACTTTTTTCGCTCAGAATATTATTAATATTTTGTTGGGTTTGACTAATCTTAAAAGACGGTAACCGTCGACTGCTGTTAGCTTTCGAAGACATATGATCCAAGATTCTACAGTCACCTGTGTAGATGTTATAAAATGTAAAATATATATTATAAGCAATTTTAAAATGTAAGAGAGGCAATAACACCACCAATTAACTTTTAATAAGTTAACGTTCTCAGCACAGGCGACCGATCAAGACTAATTCTTAAAATTAAGCTTCTAGCTAACAACAGATATGCAAGGCGTCCAGCTTTTAACAATGTTATCATTGCAAAGCGTGAAGCTTTTAGAAAAAATTATCTCAATATTTAAAGCTTCCAGCTTTCAGCAATTTTATCATTGCAAAGCGTAAAGCTTAAGCTTTTACTCATTTGTAATATTTATTTGACAAATAATTAAAAATATATGCTCTGATCAATATTTTTATTTAAAAAAAAATCTGGACTGGAACTGCAACAGTTAAATTTTAAAATTTGATTTATTAAAATAACAGTTTTTAAAATTTGTGTACCTATATTTTTCAATATAAATTATTTAAAAAACAAAGTTTATAAGGCATGCATAATTTTTTTCATTGGGTTTAATTTAACCTTTTAGAAAAGCAGGGATTTTTGTCTCATTTTCAGCAAGTGTGTAGCCAGAATTTTGTTCAGGGGGGCAAGCAGGCAAGGGTAAACTATATGCATGCTACAAACAGTTTCGAGACTCCACCTCCCACCCATTTTTTAGTACAATTTTCTGGACATTTTTTGAGATAGCTCCCTCCTTCCCAAACAACACAGTACGTTTTAAAAATGTACATTTTTGGTTATATTTACGTACTTATGTCTAAATACAAATAAATTTCCACGTCACCCGGGAGGTATTATTCTGCGACGCGTTGCCCTTTTTTAAAATGGAGGTCATCGCTGATAGCCCTACTAAACCATTATAAATAAAAAATAAAGTCTAAAAAACCAAACAAACAAAATATCACATCAAAGACTACTTTTAATCTTAAAACTTAAAAATATATTCTTAAAAAAGTTAAAAATAAATAAATTAATCAAAAAATAAAAATAAAACTAAAAAGTCGACCCCTACCTAAATATTAAAAAATATAAAATACTATAGCTACTTTTTGTAAATTAAATCTATACGTCTAAGTTTGCAAATTTATCTATTATTTGGTCGTAAAATTGTGGGTCTGCTGTGAGATTTAAAAGTAATTCTAAATTTTCAAACCTAATTAAAGAATTATGCAATCTATTATTTCAAAATATAAAATTTGCTTAATAACAACTGTTAAATCTACCTTAGTGTGTTCCCTACAATAATTAAATAAGAAATTTTACTAATCGAGACAAAAACTATAAAAGATCAGCCAAAAGTTTTAAATAATTTAATCAGAATCAAAACAATAACGTACTAGCTAAACGCTAAGAGAACACTGGCATCCCCACAGACCACAGGTCTGTGGGCATCCCATCATAGACGGACCCCCACGGTGGGGCCCCCGGGGCCCCACCAGTGCTCGGATATTTGAAACCCTGTATAGGCTTACTCTGTCTTGCCCAAGCATAGTTTCTCTGTCTTGCCTGCTCTGCTCGCGCCGTCAGTGGGCGAGGCGTATGCTATACGGGGTTTTTAAGGACATTCCAGGTAGAGCGTATTTTTTGTTCTTGCGTTCGAAAATTTGTTTCCAGTTATATTATTATAATATATATATCAGTGGCGGCTCGTCAGGGTAGGCCTCTGAGGCCGCGCCTCACCCTTAAAATGAAGGAACGAACGACTTTTTGTATTTATATTTTTGCCTATTACAAGTGTATTTTTAAAACAGTTCTACCCAATAAAAAGTAAAAAACCAATCAATCATATTAAGCGTAAATAAAAATCCAGGCGCAAAGCGCGTCAAGTTAACGTGCATCGTTGAGAGTCGCTTGGACAGAGGCGAAATTTTCACAGCCTCGGAAGCTCCCATTTACCTCTTGAAAGCGAAAATGACTCACCAACAAAAATATCGCCGTAAGTTCGCGAATAAACACCGTAGATGAGGCGAAATTTAGTTAGCTTGGTTTGTTCTGATTGGTGGTCCGTTTATGGTGGGATGCCAGCGGAGACAAAGAAGGTTGCCAGTCTTCTCTTAGCGTTTGTAGAGCACGTTATTGTTTTGATTCAGATTAAATTATTTAAAACTTTTGGCTGATCTTTTATAGTTTTTTTCTCGATTAGTAAAATTTCTTATTTAATTATTGTAGGAAACACACTAAGGTAGATTTAGCAGTTTTTATTAAGCAAATTTTATATTTTGAAATAATAGATTGCATAATTCTTCAATTAGAGACGCGGTTTGAAAATTTAGAATTACTTTTAAGTCTCACTGCAGACCCACAATTTTACGACCAAATAATAGATAAATTTTCAATCTTAAAAGATAGATGTATAGTATTTTATATTTTTTAATACTTAGGTAGGGGTCGACTTTTTAGTTTTATTTTTATTTTTTGATTAATTTATTTATTTTTAACTTTTTTAAGACTATATTTTTAAGTAAGATTAAAACTAGTCTTTGATGTGATATTTTGTTTGTTTTGTTTTTTAGAGTTTATTTTTTGGTTTAGTAGTGCTATCGGCTCCATTTTAAAAAAGGTCAACGCGTCGCAGAATAATACCTCCCGGGTGACGTGGAAATTTATTCGTATTTAGACAAAATTAACCTTATGTAGCCTCACCCTCCTGTACACCCACGAGCCGCCACTGATATATATTATTATTATTATATATAATTATTAATATTATATATAATATATATTTATATAATTATTATATTATTCTAGCGGGCATTTCAGGACTCTTGGATAAAACTTCATATTTCAACAGTTGAATTTAGTGACTTCATTTTTTTTTTTTAAACTGTGTCAATGTTTTGACTACATTTGACTCGATATAATGTATATGTATAGAAATTTTCAATAATTCACATAGCTCGCCGCAGGGTAAAATTTTTGATGCACGATTTTGATAATTCTACGAGCCCTAACCACATAATGTTCGGACACTTTATAATTTATACAGAAATTTTTTTCGTGAATACTATCTCAAAATTATTAGAAGTTATAAAAAATTCAGCTTATTTTGGCATATACCCCTCGAAGCGATTTTTATTTTTAAAAAGTTGACCTTTTATTTTTAGCTTTTAAAAAAAGGCTAACTTTTTAACTTTTTTTTGTATGAGTAAAAAAAGTTATAAATGGACCCATTAAAAAGAGCATAAAATATTATACAAACCCTGAAAATTTGGTAAAAAATAAATAAGTTATAAAAAAGTATAAGTAATTTAAAAATGCTATTTTTAAAGAGTTTTTGCAATTTTCTTAGGAAACGGGAGATTTTGCAGATATATATATCGCTATAACTTTCTTATTATTTATACAATTTTTACCAAATTTTCAGGGTTTGTATAATATTTTATGTTCTTTTTAATGGGCCCATTTATAACTTTTTTTACTCATGCAAAAAAAGTTAAAAAGTTAGCCTTTTTTTAAAAGCTAAAAATAAAAGGTAAACTTTTTAAAAATAAAAATCGCTTCGAGGGGTATATGCCAAAATAAGCTGAATTTTTCATAACTTCTAATAATTTTGAGATAGTATTCACGAAAAAAATTTCTGTATAAATTATGAAGTGTCCGAACATTATGTGGTTAGGGCTCGTATATTAAAATTTTTTTTTTTTCAAAATCTTTAGAAATTTTTAAAATTTCTGAATTGCTATTAGAAGCGCTCACATTTCAAGTATAAGTCTGCAAAAAATCAGAATTTTAGATTGTATTCTAGAATTAATACAACGGTTAATGTTACGAATCACCCACACTCATAGTGGATGGAATACAATCCCTTCTCCGTTTGGAATTAAAATCTTGCATAAAAATTCATATTTCAACAACCGTTAAAGTTAGCAAATTAATTTTTTTTTTTAACTTTATCAATGTTTTAACTACATTTGACTCGATATATATGTATGGAAATTTTCAATAATTCACATAGCTCGCAGCAGGGTAATGTTTTTGATGCACCATTTTGATGATTCTATAATGCAAAATTTTTTTTTTCAAAATTTTTAAAAATTTTGAATTGCTATTAGAAGCGCTCACATTTCAAGTATAAATCTGCAAAAAATCAGAATTTTATATTGTATTCTAGAATTAATTCAACGATTAATTTTACGAATCACCCACCCTTACAGCGGAATAAAATCGCCGTGTGAATTTAAAATTCTTTTTAAATTTTATTATGCAAATATGAAAATTTTCCAAAAAATTAGTAATTTTTAATGCCAAGAAATCAATTTTTCTAAAATCTGTTGCAGATACAAACAAAGAAATAATAATAATAATAATATTTTTTTTATCAAAAATCACTAATTAATTAATTAATCATATAACTACAACAGAAAATGGTTAGTACAAGTCAAAAAGATAAACTAAAAGTATACTGAACATAAATTTGCTAAAATATAAGGATGATCAAAATCGTGCATCAAAAACATTACCCTGCGGCGAGCTATGTGAATTATTGAAAATTTCTATACATATATATCGAGTCAAATGTAGTGAAAACATTGATAAAGTTATTAAAAAAAAAATTAATTTGCTAACTTTAACGGTTGTTGAAATATGAATTTTTATGCAAGATTTTAATTCCAAACGGAGAAGCGATTGTATTCCATCCACTATGAGTGTGGGTGATTCGTAACATTAACCGTTGTATTAATTCTAGAATACAATCTAAAATTCTGATTTTTTGCAGACTTATACTTGAAATGTGAGCGCTTCTAATAGCAATTCAGAAATTTTAAAATTAAAATACAAAAATATGCAAAAATTTTGATCATGT